TATTAATACGTTTAGTAAAAATTTGTTAATGTGAACTGTGACAATAGACATTTTATGTACGAATTTTATGAAATTATTTATTATTCAATAACGAATATATTATTTATCGCACGTTTAAATGCAATATTGCAGGCAGTATACCCATTAAATTTCGTAATCGGAAGTTCAATCCTTCATATTTAATTTTAGTTTAAATTCTTAGTTTTATATGCTAGTCACGAATATGTAATACTTGTCTAATAAATAAATATTATTCTACAATATTCAATTATTCTATTATTCTATTATTCTATTATTCCTTTATTCTATTATTCTATTATTCTATTATTCTATTATTCTACAATCATGTATCATTCTATTTATCAAGTAGAAATCGAACTGCAAACAGTGTAAGTTCAAAATTCACATACAAGCACACGAATATTTATTTTCACGATGCGCAGAATTTTATTCGCGAAATTTTTGTTACAGTCTGTCTAAGTTATTCTCTCGTTTTACATATGCTTCGTTGTTTTAACTTGTCGCCATATACTCGCATGTACGTACGACGAGGTGATTACTTTGAAATTTGTATACCCTTGTAAAGTATACCGTACACACTAGACACAAATATCGTGTTAAAACGTCCGAACACGCATTCCAAGCTGTCCCTTTACTACTCGATTTTTGCCAAACCTGTATCCATCTTTTAAATAATACACGACCTTTATTCAAAACAAAGTATTCGTTCCCGCGGCAATACCTCGAGCTAATCGAATTTCGTGGATGGAAGAAAGATAAACGAATGCACCTAACCCTTGATTTGAACGTGGATTCGTTTCACGCGAATGAAAATCATGTAAATAGAGTATGTCGGTACAAAAAGAAACAAAATACTCGAAAGAAAAGCTGATATAAATTTTAAAAATATTAGTGTTACTAAATTCAGATTGCGTAAACTAAAATCGCGCGTATAAACTACCACGTAAATAGTGTTCTAGTTTATCGCGTAAAAAAGTGCCGCGTAAATCGGGGATCAGGTGTATATATTATGATAAATATAACCTTCTCAGCTTCTGTTTTATTGATTACTCCGATTTCGTATAATCTCATTGGTATGATAAATATATTGTAAATCTGTTTTATCGAATAAATTACTTCGACTTTGCGGAACTTCTACGAACGATGGTTTGCAGATAAAACGAATATTTTGGTTTTTGAACGATAAAGAAACATTTACCTCCGGAAAATATAATAATAGAAATGAGCAATTGGCGTTTCGATATTCGATATTGAATTAAATTTAGTATCATCACCTAAATGTTTGCCATGTATCTTTTTCTGTGAATAGAACACAGACATTAATTTTTCGTGATTAATCGTTGACGATTAGTCAAAAGAATTTAGAGAAAAAAAGAAAAATTGAAAGGAGGGAAGTGAAGAATACAGAATTGTATATTAATAGTTTAGTAAGTTTTCATGTTTCTAAGCGAAATTACATAAATAATTACAATATATAAATGAAATAAAAGCATTAATGAAGTTTGTAGTAATTTTAATATTTTTATTATTTTATATTTTTTTTATGAAGTTAATGATGCCATTCATGTAACAACATTAAATTTGACATGGGCAGTCCATTTATCCATTTGTGACGTATTGTTCCCGGTCCTGTCATTTGTAGAACAAATGGATATTATTTATATTTTTATATCCGTTGCATTTTTCATTTTTATTGCATCACGGATACAATTTCTCTTGTTATATCTGCACTTCCGGCGCAGCTGTTTGGAAAAGCAAACGCTTTTTGATTTTAAATATCACACCTTCAAAGTGACCGTATGGCGATCAAATTTATTTGCCCAGCTTTTCAGTTGCGGCTTTCGGTATATTGATTACCGGCGTTTTTCAGTATCTGTAAAGACCTATCTGCCAGTATTAAATCATGCAAATGCTCTTTGGAAATGGAACTGTTGATACGCGATGAATTATCCTTCGCTGTTGCAACAATTTTCTTTCGTAATTTCTGAAGGTACTCTCAACATCTGTTTCATTTGAACAAATAACGTTCATATTTGTATTTTCCGCGTTCAACTCAGCGAAAACATAATTATGAATTCATCCTATGTAACTATTAAATGTCATGTTTCAAATTAGCGCAAAACTGTTTTTACGAAAATAAAATAATTTTAAGTTTGTACTTTATTTGAACATAATATAAAATGTATTAATTATCCTATATTTCTGAAAAATCTATAGTCGATTCAAAAACTGTTTTATTACAATTTTTCTGAAACTAAATCCCAATGCAACACTGCAATCTTTCTTATATTGAAATTCTGTTCCCAAAGAATCAAACGAATCATCCATCTCCTAGAATCATCATCTTCATCTCAAAGGGAAAATTCATTACATTACAATTTTCCTAAAACAAAATCTCAACGCAGCTCAAAGTCTTTTCCAAAGATCTTATCTAATCTCGAAATAAAAATCTCCCTGTTATAAAACTTGTCAACCATTCCAACGGTTAACTCAAACCGTATAAACACTCTCCCATACTGCAACCAACGGAATAGTACAAAAGCGAAAACGCTCATAAAACACGTTCCACGTAGCTCCGCGTAAACTACAGTCATTCCAAGGTGAGCTTGTACCATTCGTCGCCTAACGAATGCGCGGGTTAGGTTGTGGTTATACTATATGCGTATTCGAACGATGTATATACCCTTTATATACATATATTTAATTGCTTTGACGAATTAACACTTTGCAGGCGGAAGACTGATTTCAGTCCACAATAGAACAAACGTTGAAATGGGGATGCTGAGATCGCAGTTCTATTTGATTTTTATTTTTAAATATTTTATTTCTAAATTATCTGTAAAACAGATTTTTTATTTTTATAAAGATCGCAAATATATTTATATGTAGTTAGTCAGTCTCATATTTATAAAATTGAGTTTCTTTATATGAGTTCGTAAGTTGAGTCACTTGCGCAATAAGCGTCTGCGCAGTAAGCGTTCAAAAGCATGTAAGATGGCGTTCACCTACAATATGTCAACACTTTCGCTGCAGGCCAATGCCGATCGACGTCTTGGCAATCACTTCTTGCGTTATTCAGGTGATATTAATTGTTTACATACTTAAATTGAATATCGACTACTATTTTATTGATACTTATTATTGATAAGTAACTAACCTTTGTACAGCAATATTTTGGCCTTGCTTAACGCAAATGTAAGACTTCATTCAATTTCTCACTTATTCCTGGGCAACCTGCATTTTCAGTTGACTACTTCAGACTAACTGACAATTCGAACCCATCTCGTAAAAGCACGTTTGAGAAACTACCTAAAATATTCAATAACAATAAGGTTAGTCCAAAATATGTCAACTAGTCAAAAACCATTCGCCATCGGAAGGTAAATCAACAATCAGTCAGCCTCAATTCAAATACTTACTTTAAAAATATCCGCACCTCCGAGAACAAACGATTCCCAATAGCGCAGCGAACGCGTTAAGTTCCCAGAAACTCCAATTCGTTTGAGTACACGTCCACTATAGCGGCAGCTTAACGCGGGATCCTCAGATCGCTCGGCGCGCCTCGAACTTCGCGTCATCCGAACGCGGCCAACAACATGCGCGGGCCGATCAAACGATCCTGCGCGCGCCATATCCGAAAACCGCGCAGACCGATCCTAACCTAGCCGCACAACCGATCCTCTAGTCAGTCAGTCAGTCAGCCAGCCATCCCGTCAACCAGCCGGCTAGGCTATATCCAAGGTAAGAGTCGCGCGAGTGGGGCTTTTCGAAAAGACACGTCCGTCGCTGCAGGAGTGGCTTCGTGCAGCTTTATCCTGGTGGGGATACTCCCATGGTTACAGAACGAAACGGAGATAGAAAGACTAACCCTCTTCACAGACAGAGACACCTCTAGCTGGTTCAAATCGAGAGAGAGCCCGAGTGAAAGGGGTTCGAGGTTATCAGAAGCAAGAGAGAGAGGAACGCAGGCTAGCTGTAGGTGGAAGACAGAAATCGAGTTACAGGATAAAGGGAGCTAGGTTGCGCGCGCTTTGGAAAAGGACGGCAGCTAACGACAAAAGCCAGAGAGAGAGAGAGGGAAAGAGAGAGGGAGAGAGA